ACGGCATCATTTACCACCACAGTCTAAATATTTAGCATCTAAAATATTGCAGTAAAATAAGCTGCGCCACATCTGTCGACAAAATCTGGTGCCAACTCAAGGTCAAATGGAAAATATGGTCACGTGACCAATGTCCGGCAGCTGGGGTCCATGATGCGACCAAGGCCATCTATAGAAGGTACAGTCACTCCCCCGCCGACCAATCAGAGACAGATCCTGAGTGACGTCACCTCTGATGCTCGCAAGGGGTACTCCATTCCTTTACAACGTAAAAATGACCAACTTCATTTGAAGATTGTTGGTGACACTCTACACATATCGCTCAACCGTTGATGTCATTGGAAAGTCCAACTAATTTTCTAGCGATAAAAAAGAGCTGCAATATTCTAAGAAATGGCCGGTTTTGAAGATATAGACGATTTAAAAATCCTCTGCAGTTGCAGGAAAGCAACGGAAAAACGCATCGAGCTTATATTTTGTATATGAATAACTCATTTTTCAGTAAGTTTTTAGATATGGTATCGATTTCATCAACAACTTAATTACAATATTTTTATAACTTGTAACTTAATTTCAAAATAATATTTTCAATAATGGCAGCTGTTGGCAAGAAGCTTTGAAGCGATTGTGGCGCACCGCGCCATTATTGTTCTGAGGCCCCCTTATGATGTCATCAAAAGTGGAGTGACATGGGCCTGGATGCGACGGTGCTCTTGATGTCAGGGCTACCGGAATACCTTCGTGCAGGCAACCCCGTCCCAAATGCCCAAATGCAGCTCTTCTGGGAAACAGCACCTATGGCCCGACACCATGGCTGATCACGCCGATCGCCAACCCTGCCACGGAGGCGGAACGCCTCTTCAATTTCGCTCACGCTCGGACCCGCGCGGCAATCGAAAATGCCTATTGCCTTCGGACTTCTTAAAATGCGGTTCAGCGTGCTGCAGAACGGCATCCGCCTGAAAATGGTTCACCCAAGGCCCTAAATACAAGGTTGCACGGACTTATTTCTACTAAACCTACCAGAATATAGTTTCACGGTTGATTATTTAAACGATTATTCAATCAAAATTTCTTTATTATTATCTCGTAATCATTTATAAGCAATTTTATAAATCAACTTTCAATTTGCTTGCCTTTTACTGGCAAAATAACTTTTCTAGTATTGGGTCAACATAGTGGTGTAGCAGTAGGAACCACATTTGGCAAAACCCCAATGCCTACATACAGCAGAAAAGCAGCCACCAGGTGTCGCCACAGTCGCCACTTGGTCGCCACACAGATGTCGCGCGCGTCGCCAATCGCCACACTACCGATTTCCATAAGGACGCATATGTACGGATATGTATAGGAAAGTCGCCCTTAAGGATTACGCTTACATCCTTTGCTTATGAGGTCGGTGGTTGGAAATTGGGAGGGGCTCAGCTATTTTCGACCACGGATATGCCTTTATCACATGATGAGGAACATGCTGATAAGCGTTTTATGCGTCATAACAGCACAAAAGTATTTTTAATCATTTTTCAAAAATAGCCGTTCTGCCGTATCTTTCAGTGCAAGGTGCCGTCGGTCATCCCCGACGTGACGTCACGCAGGGAATTTGCCAGATTTTCCTACTAGACTTCGACACCCCCTGGGTTCACCGTTCTGTGGCTGTTATTTCGGCCTGCATGGTCCTCCACAACATCTTGTGTGCGGACCGGTGACCTCGGTGACTGGCAGGGGGTCGCGCCAGTCCAGGACGACGTACCAGCGGAAGCTCCACCAATGGACGCCGCGGCAACGGCTGCTGAGAAGCGTGCCGGCCTAGCCCGCCGAAACCAGATGGTTCGTCACTTCCAGCAGCCCACCCCTGTCACCAAGGCCCTATATACCAGGTAGGGTCGTCCGGCGATTCTACCTGATCAGCTCGTGACGTCATCTGGGGGCACGTCTTGAAGTCCCGTTTAAGTCCTATGCAAATGGTCGATTTTTTGAAGCGCTGTAGAACAAACTCTGCTAAAGCTAGCACAAAACTAAGTGCATCATCGGAAAGCCGAGACATTTTTCTTTGAATTATCTAAGAAGTGTTTTCCACTAAACCCATTAGTTTTTCCAAAAATGCGTAAAAAAGCTCCCATGCCTCCGCAGCCTCCCTTCCGCCGGCCGGCACGCCGTCGCGGTAGTGTAGTGGTTAGGGTGCTTGCGCCGTAATCCAAAGATCGTGCGTTCGAATCTAGGCGCGGGTCGTACTTAAATCGAAATTGCAAGCAGAATGTGTTTTTCTTGATAAATCACTTATATTACAGCTAACCGTTAATAAAACTATCGATAACAATTGACTGAAACCCTTAATATAGAATACATTCTAATAAAACAAATTCAAATATGGCGGCCGTTGCGCCAGGCTCCGCCTCCGACTCCGCCCCTTCGTGTGACGTCATCTGTGCACTTGGACACACAGGGCGATAGGGGACGACATGGGCCTGCCTGTCACTGGGCAATGCAAGGGACAATGTACTCAAGGCCGTATAAGTTAGGTAAGATCGTCCGGGCTCGCTAATGTTACAAATCTGCAACACTACGGTGACGTCACCGGGGCATACGCTCCCTGGCTCCATCCGGACCCTGATGCGGCGGCTGGAATCGCTGCTAATCGAAAAGTTACTTGTGCAATAGCGCTTTTAAATGATTTTAAAAAGGGGAAAATATGATAGCGAAATAATTATGAGAATCACTTGTCCTGACTGGGATTGTATGACCCCGCCACCTAGCGGACAACGTCGTAATTAGGGTTGAGTTGGCGATCGCCAGGTGGCTTGTCAGTAAGCTGTCAGCCGCAGACAGGAGAGGGGCCGTCAGGCGCTTAATATTATGTAAACGCCAGATCATGCTCAGGAAAATGCGACACGCTTCAGAACGGTCATTTATCCCGAAAAAGATGCGGTGCCCTGTGGTGATATGGCCCACATGACTCGGGACCCGTAGGCCGTATACGGCCTACGGGTCCCGAGTCATCAGGGGGCTTATAAGGCCCCTAGGGGGCCTGGGCCCTGTGGTCACCGGCAGCTCCCAAGGCCCCTACGGACGCGATACATACTTCGAAAATCGCTAGACAAAGGACACAGGGGCGCAGCCAAGGGGGGAGGGGCACACTGGGCTTTAGCCCCTCCCAAATCTAGCAGGCGCCCTTTGGAAAGACGCCTGAAGGCGCCCTGGATGGCGCTTTCCACGATCATTCTGTGCGCCGATGGCGCCTTTTCAGTGTCCAGCACTCTATAGTCGCCCTCGACGGTAAGCCATTGCGGCGTCATCATGCGGTGCTGGCGCCCAGATTTACAATTTCATATCTCTTTGTGGGTGAAGATGCACCCACAATCCTGAAATGCCGGATATCCACTCCCAATCTCATGACCATCTAGCGCCCTGGGCTCACCTTCAGCGCCCTTCTGTCTGCTCGGCGCCCTTCTGATCTGTCGGCGCCCTTCTCGCCCTTCAGCGCTCTCCTGGCCTGTCGGCACCCTCAACATTCGGCGCCCTCCGGGCAGACCAGTTAGCGCCCTCATGGACATTATCACACAGCATCCTCCTGATCTGTCTCGCCCTCCACACTAGTCAGCGCCCTCTTGACCTGGCAGCGCCTATCGTATTATAGCGCCCTCCACGGTATATAGAGAACTAGGTAAAACCGGTTCGAAATTACAACACTAAGGTATTTTGACCACTATTTTCAGCTGACCTTTTAAGTCTAAAAAAGAGAACTAAGCAACAAATTTCGATGAGTTTTACGATTTGTAAATATATTTTTGATTTATGATCACAGAGCACGTCATGTATGAACCTGTGAAGCATTAACGAAAATAAATTGTTGGCTATCTCCGCCATTTAAAAAATTATATATCTTAAAACGCAAAGCTTGCTCATGGACAAAATTAATTTTTCACAATCAAAAATTAAAATTGAAGGACAAAAAGTAATATCAAAGGCCGACACTCTTTCATTCAATTTCGAAATTATCATGGTTCTGAGCTGTTCAACCTACCGGACCTGCCAATGCTCTACCCTGAATTGTCGAGTAATTTCAGTGACGTGGGGCTTCAATCATGGTCAATAAATATCGAAATTAAATTTTCTTTCAGATTATGTCAGTTTTGTTGCTTTTTAAGCATTGGAAAATGCATTTAGTTGATGTTGAATGCACCACCGCCATTGGTGTCCTTGGTCACCCTGTTCCACTAAATGTAATATTTTTCTAAAACTAGACTATGTCGGTGTCTAAAACATTTACCAAAAATTACAAAATTGTTAACGCTACTACCTTTCAAAATGTTGAAGCGCTATGATCTTGGGAAATTTTAGAAATGTATTTATGAATCTCGAACTTATATTTTTTGGAACCGATTACTCCTGAGCAAAAACATCTGTATTTGGTAAACTTGTTAGGCATATGCTCTTAAAACGTCTATATCAAAATGAGAATTCAATTTTCTTTAAAAGTCCGCATATCTCATTGCAGTTTCGAAGATGTAAGGTGTATTTTTTGGTCTAGAATGAATGATCTTCCATTCTGCTGAAGGTAACACTATGACAATTAATGGAATATTACTAAAAAACAAGACAATGTCGGTGTCTAGTTCAAGCTTAATAATTAACATAAAAGAATTCTCTATCTTTTGATATGAGTCATAAAACAAGATGAACTTGGGAAATTTACGAATTTCGGTATTGAAAACCGCAGACCACCCTCAGTTGTGCTTTGTCCACTGTACTGTAAATGCTGCTAATATACCTCTGTCGCTAGCAGACGCATGTCTTTGCATTTGATTGGTTGAACGGCATTTCGTTTGCTGATGGAGAACACCTTTGTTTTAATTTGTATTTTGTCATCGGTTATGTTATTTGTTTTGTCTGTTACACTGAACTCTATTGGGGTCTGTTATTTGATTTGAATTTGTTAGGTAAAGATGGAAGGCACTGTGACTATAAATAATGGAAGGTAGGTGTTGGTTTGGTACCTTCTTTTTAAAACTTATTTTTTCCCTGAGATTTTGCCTGTCAGGCTGGGTGATTTTGTGTTTTAGATCCTTTTCTGAATTCTGTGGTTCAGTTGAGATTCAAATCAAAATAGGTAAAAGGTAACTAGGCCAAGGCCAAAGGTAGTTGATGTTTTGATTGATTTGTCTTGTAGTTGTGGTAATTATCCTACCAAGTATGCTCTACCCCAACGGCCAGTTGACGAAGCATGGCAATTTCGACGAGATGTTGTCATTGTGGCTCGTGGGGCTGTTCAGCTGGTGTGGGTTTGGTGCGTTGCGGATTTGGCTTCGTGCAGCGCAGATTTAGTGTAGCGTGGTGCGAGTTTGGCCTGGGTGGTGTTTCACTGGTGATAGTGATAGCAGCATGCTGCTATTTCATGTGTCAAATTAGGTTTCCATGGAGACATCAACAAGCCCCACTCACATTGCTCCAACACAACCACAAGTGTGACGTCAGCAGAATAGCAGCGTGCTGCTATCACCGGTGAAACACCACCCTGGTGACGAACTTGACGGGGTGTCAATAAAGCTGGAGTCACCTTCAGCGCTAGCCAGTAAATGTGTAGATAAAAGGAAGCTGAAATTTAAAAACAATCTAACCTTACCTAACCTTACCTATTGGCTATTAACATACTAACCTATACCCTACACCCTACCAACTGACGGTGACGCCAGCTTTACCATAAACCGTAGGTTGTAGTTTAGTAGGTAAGGTTAGGTCAGGTTAGATAATGTTTTGTTCTGTTAGACTAGGTGGGTATTTGATTAGATTTAAAAGCGAATTTTGTGTAAATGTCTCAAGAACTGGAGAGTCTAGCGACTTCACAAATGGGTGGCAGCATGTGAGATGCCTGCTATATGAATACCAGAAAGCCTTCTCTATGCCTCAACCCCCTGTTCTGGGCTGGGCGGACACTTTCATCCCATGTGGGAAGCTCCCCTAGGAGCATACACGGAGCCAGGTGCAGTGTCAGGGACAGGGTGCCCTGTTCACTGGATGGGCTCAGCCCCAATGACTTGTACCAGGGTGTTTGCCCATACCAATAGCTCCCCCTAATTCCTATCATTCCTCCAACTCTGTAGTCTTTTTGGGCCAAAACTTGAAAGGCAACCCAACAAAACTTTAAATTGATTTTTAACTTGTGGCATAGTACTTACTATTTTGCCAGTCTGACAACATCCCATTACTGCCTTGACTGGCTTTCTTCTCTCTCAGGCTGATCCTGTGTCACAGAGCCACATAGATGAGCAGCTACCCATCGTAGGATGCACACTCAACCTCCTGCTAGTTTCTGAGCCAAGTCAGCTTGACAGAGGGGTCTGCTAATGCACAGTCACCTAGCCACTGCTAACAGATGCTGGCTGGGACAGACGCTCATCAAAGGTGTGCCACACGACATGGGCATTCTCGTTCTGCATCAAGCCTCAAGGTGCCTCAGCCAAACGGCAGTGAGAAATAAGGGTTGAAGAAGGAAAAGAAGAGGACTGAGGAGAAAATCCATTTACCACAATTTTATCACTGTGGACAATCGCGAATGCGTAGTGTAATATACCTATTAACTTAGTAGCCCAGCACGCTCAAGAGATCTTGGAAACTGGACCACCCCAGATCAGTAGATGCAGACATGCACGTGCAGACGAAACACCAGCGCCATGCATGGGGTCCAATCTCACCATGGAAATGCCAAAGCACACAGCTCAAGCCATGCTGCCATCCACATGACGTGCGGCCAGGTATCCATTATCAGACTAGATATGTGATATCTGAGTTTTTTATAACATAGCCATTTGCAATCTTTTGTGGCGATGGAACTTTCTTAGCATAAAAGACCGCCGTTGTGTACCGTGCCTGTGGCCAGCTTAGTCGTTTCCATTGTATGCTTTGTCTGTGGCCAGCTTAGTCGTTTCCATTGTATGCTTTGTGGTTTTTTAGTTCTGAGCATGTTATCTTTCAACAGGCTCGTTGCTGTCGGCGGTTCTGAAGACAGCGGTGCGATCCAGCTGAAGGACGTCACCTGGCAGGAAGTTGTAGAGTGTGGTGGCCAGTATCAAGCCACATTGTTCAGAAACCATCACATTATCTCCAGGTCAGTAATTGTGTGAACCGGGGGGGGGGGGCGCAGCTGCGCCTTGGTCACCACTGTGTCGAGTTGTGGACGCCTGGGCCACTGTGTCGAGTTGTGATAGGAAAATCCTGCGAAATTCCTCCCACTTCTCCGTAGGTCTCTGCTGCTTTAACACAGGTGTCCAGTCCGTGTCGGTGAGCTGCCAGTTGAACTGGTCAGGATCGACCCGCTGTAAGCACCGGCGTTGAACCGTCGGGCCGGTCGCCGCACGCCACCAAACCGCAGCCCCACGCGGGTAATAATCGGGCTTGGACTTCTTGGATGAGATGTTTATGCACAGGCTAATGTACTGTAATTATGACTGAGTGTGCGACAGAAGACGTTGTGACTATGAGTCATACTCGCCGTGGCTGGTATTTGATGACCGTCGTGACCTGTGACGGTCGCCGTGACTGCTGTGTGACGATCACCGTGACTGTAATGTGACGGTCGCCGTGGCTGGTACGTGATGTTCTCAGTAACTGTTTATATAACGGCCGTCGCGACTGAAAGGTGACGACGTGACGAGACGCGACTCGCTCTGTTACAGGTCACTAGTCGCCGGTGCTCGAGCTGACGGCGTCGTTCAAGGGCTCCACGGTGACAAGCGCCGTCACCGCTGCCGCCGCCGCCGAGACCATCCGACTCCTGGGCCCTGTTTCACGGCAGCGTACTGCAGCGCGCTACGCAGCGCTGCTGTGTTAGTGCGGCGATTGAGACGAATTCGGCTCGACGCTCCAGCGTTGCGAAACACCCGTGTCTATGAAGGATACGCCGATACGTCTTCCAGCTTCAAGCCCTTCCCGCCCCCCCCCCCCCCCGCCCCGTCCCAACGGTGTTGGCCGAGATTGGGGTTGGTATTTTAACGGGCTCTCCGATGACGTCCCGCAATTTGTGTTATGTAATTTGACGATTATGTCGTAGTCTCATTCTGTCTCGATATGCTAATAAATGATAAATGGGACGGAGGTTGGAAGTAAGGTGTGAGTGGCTGTAACCGGCAGGTTTTGGCGAGCGCGATATTAGTTATTGTGAGCGCGCCAGCTGCATTAAATCGCGCGCTTCTGGCGAGAAAATACTTGCTCTGGAACCTAGAAGTTTGTCGTGAAATCTATGTGCCTTTGGATTGAATTATTAGAACATAATGTACTTTCGGTGTCCAGCACTGCAGCTCTGGAAATAGAAATATGGATGTTGGCTGTTTGATGTAGCAAGGGCTAACAATCTGCGTCAAGAATCAAAAGCTGTATGCAAATTAAAGTGAATATATTTCAATGAATTTTTAAATTTTGTGATACAAAACATAAATGTGTCAACTACTGATTACACCCGGCTGCAAACACTGTAACGCTTGCAATGCTGTACGGCAAATAAATAATATAGATTCTGGCGGCCGACTGGCGCGATCCGAGGCTGCTGACTGTTGTTGTATAGGACAACACGGCTGAATGGCTACGATCGAGAGTACGGAACGGTGCTGGTGACTGGCGGACCAGCGAAAACAGGAAAGGAGATGAATAGCTCTAGCTCCCGTCTGCGCGCGGAAGGGCGCTGATTGGCGCGGCTCGCAGACTCCATTGGCTCATCAGACTGTTGTTGGTTTTGCTCCTCCCCTCCCACAGGCGTAGCCAGGTAGCTTAGTTGTGCGCGGAAGCGAGCGGCCAGAGCGGCGCTAGGTGTCGCCCTCCCAGCGACCGGGCAGTGCAGCTGGACGTGCCTCGGATGGTCCGCCTCTGATCTCGGCACACTCGGAAGAGTGCGGCCGGACACTCCATGGAGTTGCATAGCGTCGATAGGCCGTATGTTTTTGTTTTTGTTTTGTTGGGTTAGGCCCTTTCGGTCCAATGCGACCATTTCAGAGCCGGGAGGATAATAGGATATAGGGGGAGACATTGGTCTGGGCAGGCACCCTAGTGAGTCGCCGGGGCTGAGCCCGTCCAGAGGACAGGCCACCCAGCCCCAAGGCACTCACTGCACCCGGCTACGGGGTACGCTCCCTCGGGAGCAGCGGTGCCGCTCCAAGGGAACAGCCCGCATGAGATAAAGTTGCCTGTCCAGCCCGGAGGGGGGTTGCGGCGTGGAGGAGAAGGATTTCAGTATCCTGAGGATAGAAGCACGGAACGGTGAGGCCGTATGGTGTCGCTGTCGTAATATATAAAAGCGTAAGTAGAAGGTTGAAGAAGATATAGAATGTTTTTCTTTACATTTAATATCGCAAAGCACAGCTTTATGCGCTGGCTACGATATGAGCACGTCGGTTGCGGCAGTAGTCATCGAAGAAATATATGGTTTATGAACGTTTCTTGATCATAAAATGATAAAACATTGCAATGTTTGCCTATCGTGAAGAAAACTCATATACTGCCGCTCTATCGTCCGGAATTATTCGTGTTTGATTACGGCGATTCCGCCACTCTATCAGCTGATTTTTGTTTCCGAGTCACGTGACCAACCGGTGTCTCCCTGGCGCCCTCCTCACCGTACAGTGCCATCCTGACCTGTCGCCATCCTCCTCACTGTATAGCGGCCTCCTAACTATACAAAGCCCTCCAGACCGGCACCCTCTACGTTCAGCGCCAGAGGTGGAGAATTGTCATAATCCCAGGGGGTGCTTTTCCAGCACCTGGCGAGTGGCAGCGGCAAATTCTTGCCGCTGCCATATAGGCACACTTTTCCGACTGCATCACTATCCTCGCGACTTACGCAAAGCAGTTTGTGTCTCAGATGAAATGTAAGGAGCCACTGGAGCATTATTACATGGTAACCTTTGAGTTTCAGGGGGTGCTCGAGCACCCCCAAAACCCCTAATTCTCCACCCCTGTTCAGCGCCCTCCTGACAAGTCGGTGCCCTTTTCACCGTAGACGGCCCTCCTGATCTGTCGGCGCCCTCCTGACCGTACATCGCCTTCCTCACCTTGTCCGTGCCCTCCTCTTTATACAGTGTCCTCCTGACCTGTCAGCGCCCTCTTCACTCGTATAGTGCCCTTCTCATCGCACAGCATCCTCCTCACCATGGGCGCCCTCCTGACCTGTCGGCGCTCTCCCCACCATACAGCGCCCTGCTGCCTTGTCGGCGCCCTCTTCACGGACATTCTCCAGATCTGTCGCAGCCCTTATCACCGTGCAGTGCCCTCCTGAGCTGTCAGCGCCCTCCTCGCCTGTCGGCGACATCTTCGCGTTCAGCGCCCTCCTGACCAGCCTGCGCCTTTTGCAACGCATAGCGCCCTCATCACCATGCATCGCCCTCCCGACCAGTCAGCGTCGCCGTTCATCGTACAGCGCCCTCCTGACCTGTCGGCGCCCTCCTCACAACACATCGCCCTTCTGACCGGTTAGCGTTCTCCTCACTATGCAGACAATGCAACACTTTACAATTAGGAAAGCGTTAAGTAGCCTATGCTTAACCCTCGCCGGCACAGGCCATTTTGCGTCATTCGACGGCACAAGGGGGTGGTACGACCCCCCCCCCCTCGCGTTTGGCCCCTGATTGAGCTAGAGCTCTGCGGAAAAACGAGCGTGTTGCCCGTCACGAGAGGAAGCCGATGATATCCAATTTTAAGACCCTAGATCATCGGATGACCTTCCAGGTCAGGTCAATGACCCGAAAATCGGGGAAATCGGGACCTGTTAGAAAGTCGTAGTGTGGCTGCTATGGAGTTCTCCGAGGTGCTGATCACGAATATCGTGTTAGTTTTGATCAGAGATGATGTCTTTAAGCATTTAGACCAGGTCGGGTCAGGTCAGGTCAGGTCAACCGGTAGGGGTCGTGACGGGTATTCGTAATACGTGTCAACCGCCTCTGACAGCTTCGTAACATGTTACGAAGACACCAAAACTACTTGTACACGTTTAAATGGTTGCTAAATTCGAAATAAGCTCCAAAAACTAGCCTAGAAACATGTAAAACTCTAAAAAGTGAACCGAGGTCACCAAAGGTCAATGACCTGACCTGACCTTCAGGTGACCTTGACATCCACCCTAATGCATGGGAGCAAGATCAAATCACATGTTTGAACGTTTGAAACCACGAAAAGCTTGCAAACGCGCGGCTAATGCAAGCCGACATACGCCGAATCCCGATTCCGGCCAAACATGGTCTCGGAAAGTAGGTCACAGGTCAAAGTTCATTTGGGTCAGGGTCATGAAATTTTCAGGGTAGGTGTACAATTGATCAATGCGAGGGTACTGAAAGTTTCGTCGCGATCAGCCGCCTTTTACGCGAGTTAATCGCGAAAAACCTTAGGGGGATTGCATCAACCTCCCCCCCCCCCCCCTGTGCCGGTGAGAGTGATTTTAGGCGCATATTAGTAATGAAGCAATTTCCGGAAAAAGAAAGGATGACAACGTTTCCAGCGTTTCCGGAACGTTTCCGGAAAGGAACTTGTTTACAACCGTGACCCTCAAAATCGTATTCAAGGCCAAACTTGCGGGGAAGGCCAGGTGACAAGTGTACGCCCCCGTGACGTCACGGATAATGTTAAACAGTCGGGCGCCCGGCACATAGGAAAGCTCGGGATGACAGCCCCCTGCAATGTACTCGTAGCTGGAAATCCTAACTGCGATGGCCCTAGCCTCGGGACGTTGAACCACGCTGTCACTCTTAACCATGCAGTCCGCTGACGTGCTTTGATGAACCGCATGTGTTCCTGCCTCCCAGTGCTCCTACTAACTCATTGCGCAGGGATTTAATGTTTGCAACTACCTGTAATGTGCTTGTGTGAGGTCGTGGGACTTGCCCCCAGATTACGTCACGGGCTGACGTCACGATCAGGTAGAATCGCGGGACGACCCTACCTGGTATATAGGGCCAAGGTCCTAAATACAAGGTTGCAGGGACTAATGTCTACTAAACCTACCAGAATATAGTTTCACGATTGAATCAATCAAAACTTCATTATCTTGTAATCATTTGTAAGCAATTTCATAAATATACTTCTAATTTGCTTGCCTTTTACTTTTTTATAAATTTAGTCCGAACCTTTTGGTGGGAAGGACTCACAAGGACAGAGCCTCCGCTAAGCGAAGCTTGTTGCGATGACCCTGCCCTCTACCCTCCGATCGCGCAATTCCGATTCTATGGCAGAATTTAGAGTCCAAAGCTTAACATCCGCTGACAAAGCCGCGCACGGCCGCTACTTGCAAAATAACTTTCTAGCATTGCGTCAACATAGTGGTGTAGCAGTAGGAACCATATCTGGCAAAACCCCAATACCTACATACAGCAGAAAAGCAGCCACCAGGTGTCGCGACAGTCGCCACACGGATGTCGCGCGCGTGGCTTATCGCCACACTACCGATTTCCATAAGTACGCGTATGTTCGGATATGTAAGGGAAAGCCGCCCTTATTACCCTTAAGGATTACGCTTACATCATTTGCTTATAAGGTCGATGTTGGAAATTTGGAGGGGCTCGGCTATTTTCGACCACGGTATGGCTTTATCACATGATGAGGAGCATGCTGATAAGCGTTTTATGCGTCGTAACACACAAGTATTTTTAATCATTTTTCAAAAATAGCCGTTATGCCGTTTCTTTCAGTGCAAGGTGCCGTCGGTCATCCCCGACGTTACGTCACGCCGGGGATTGCCAGATTTCCCTACTAGAGTTCGACGCCCCATGTATAGGGCCCTGCTCCAGGGTTCAGGAACCAGGCACGTGCATCCAAGGCCGTATATATGCGTGCATCATTTGAGACACCCAGAGCCTTCCAGACTCCAGAGGTTTGATCCACCCATGCCACTCCCAGGGGGGCGACACGGCTATTCGCGCAATGTATTAATTTATGGGCCGCGCGGGGCCTCGCGATGACGCGGCTGGAGGCAACTGCTCAGCGCGCTAGGATACTTCTGGCGGGGCGGGGCGCTGAACGGTGTGCAATGAATGGGTTATGGTCGGGCCGACAGAGATGAGGTATTGAATTTGAATTGACATCAGCAATCGGGTGGGGAAGGAGAACGTTCCTAATCGAGCTTGGGTTGGGGAAAGCCGAAAATATCGCGATCGGCTCATAGCTCAGACAGGGCCGGGTGCCGTACGTACCATGTGTTGTATACATATTTAGGCGGGCAGACAGAGATGAGTTATTGGATTTAAATTCACCTTACCATCGGTTTCTGGTGGGGTTTGAAAATGGTTTTAGTCAAGCTCGGAGTGGGGCAACCCACTGGCGGATCCAGGGGAAGGCATTTGGGGCAAATGTCTTCCCCCACATTGGCAGCGCCCGAAATCGCTTTTCGAGAATCAAAGAAAACTTCACAACTTTTCTCAGGAAATGTTGGTTAATCACACTGCACAGCAGTGCGCAAGGAATCGAAATCAGAGTTTTTTTTTTAATTAATTCCGAGAAACCTTTTTGGGGTAAGCCTCCGCAGTGTCCAAGACCGCTTCCTGGATCCGCCAGTTGTGAATAAGTCACGGTCGATACCGAGCTTCGGCGGGACCAGGCGCTGTATACGTTGTTCTTTCAATGAAGAGGTGGACAGACACCTAGCCCCACATCCTACTGCTATGCCCGTGCTTCTGTGGGTGAAGCACTAAAGCATCACGGAATCCCACAGGACCTGCGAGTCGACGAGGTGGGCCGCTTTGGCCGCCGGGTACTGCAGCTCCCTGGAGTTGCCTGGGACCGATGGCAAAACAACAGCTCCGGCGGTGCCCCTATGGGCCGTAGTAATTAGCGAATTCCTGTAATGTAGAGATCATATCCTCAATAATCTCCATTACCATTTTATATTCCTAAACAGTATGACAGAACAATTATGCTTGCCTACGTTCAGGCATTACCTCTGATGGTCATACGTCCAGTACAACATGTGTTGTCTGTCAAACAACAATCGACGACGGGATCTCTTCTCATTATCTCTTAAGCCATCGGTTGTCAATTCACCCACCCCGTTTCCCTAAAAATAGACTGTCAGATTCGGCCTGGGTCCTTACGACCCCTCTAGATTCGCCAGAGACGGGATCGGATCGCCGTTATTGCACCCGTCTTAGTGTCTTTAATACTATGACAGCTTCGACCACGGACTTCGGACGGGGTGATCGTTCCACGAATGTACGAACCATCCAGGCCTAGAGTGCATCGAGGTTTAAAAGAATGCAGTCTGTAGATCAATAAACATAACAATGGTGGTATACAACCACATTAAAACATCTCCCCGGCTCCCGCAACGTTCCAACGCCCCTCCGTTATGCATTCGCCTTGTGTGTCCGCCGAGCCGGCTTGCCTCCAATGACGTCATCGGCCGGCCGGCGGCGTTCAAGGTCAAACGGCTGGTGTCCTTACCTGGAGTTCTATAGCCTTGGCCACTCCAGTGGCCACGATTTCAGCACCTACCTACTGCCTCGATGCCCTGGATTAGGCTGAGGAGCGTGGCGACAGTGCTCGGGGTTACATGAGCAGAGTTAATACGCATTACAAACGGACTACAATGGTGAGCGAATAGGAAAATCCGTTCCTGATACGCATTTACTTGCTCATGTAACCCCGGTAACTTGACTGCAGAGTCAAACTGGAACAGCAACCTGCCACATGTAGAAGATTCCCGCTACCACGAACTGTTGCAGGCGCCGGTGTGGTCCCAGGACCTGATCCAGTCAAGGCCATATATAGGATGCAGTTGCTGATCATAGCAGGCCACTTTCAGAATGTCCATCTCATCATACATCACGATTCACGACGCACCGGCGTTCCTGTCGTGTCAGGTTTTGCACCACCTTTGCCAACTGCTCCAGCTGTGTGACAGAGCTGTCCGCTGCAGGACAAAGGTGGCCAGGTAGCGCTGCAGGGTGACAGTGCTGGCAGCGGGAAGCTGTTGCCGCGGAGCCACTCGTACTGTCTGCAGGGCACGTTGACGCGGTGCCGCAGTGCCTCATGCAATGAGTCCTCTGTCCACGGATCGCGCAATTCCGGGTGACAGGAGAATTTAGATGCCAAAGTCTATTATTCAAAAATGAAATTTGAGGGCATCCAGAATCAGGCAGTTTAGAGTTAACCCTAATAGTGATGCAGTAATGAAAAAGGCATAGGATTAAAAGTATGGAATAGGCAGGTACCGGTACAGGTTCCAATAGGGCTATAGCCTATAAGAACAAATTCCTGAGTAGGATGAGGACTTCAAATCATTACCTGGTCTTGACCAAGTCCCTGGTGCGAGCAGGAGGATGGATCCTTGGCTGGATCGAGGAACATGCCGGAATCCTGATGGATGGAATGGCGCTTGGAAGATTTCTTTTGCGACACTTCGACAGAGATTCCGAGAAGTCAGATGGAGTGAAATGGGCTGAACACACACGAGGATCAGCATGATCTGCCAGCTCCGAATCAGCTCTCTGCTGATTGGCGGAGAGCGGAATCAGAGCGGAATCTGGCGTGCCACCACTAAAGGGCCAGATTGTGGTCCTTCGGGAAGGAGTAATACCTTGTGCCCTCGGGATTAAACTTGCGTGCAGCCGTACCATTGTGACAGACTGGAACGGCACAGCCTGGCATCTCAGGCCTCAGCAATGGAAATACTGAAAAACTCGAGATAAAACACTTGCTGGAACGAAGCTGAAAATCTGATGCAAATATTTAACTAGTAAAATCACTCAAGACAGCCAAATACAGGAACAGTAGGCGAAATCTTTTGGCCGAGAAGTCCGTTGCTATGCAAACAATTCGTAATTGGCTCAGATGCGCAACTTCTGAATCCTACCAGCTTGTCACCATATCGAGTTTACTACTACGACACCAGATTCTTCACTTCTACCTAGGGCCAATTTTTATATCATTTTATTCCAATAAAAAGAACAAAATGGGGTATACGTTCTCCAAATTTTGAAAAATTGTAATGTAGATACTAAACCTTAATTACAACGATTTGTATTACTGGAGATCATGCATATTGAACTGAGACATAACCCCTAATTCAATATACCCTGCCTCTGATACCAACTTCTTTCTTGCAGAGCCCAAACGGATATGCGAAGGGCCGACAATAAGAAGACGCAATAGTTGTCTCGTGACATCCAGACATACTAAATGCATGTAATCCAAAACGAACTGTGTCACTAATCCTATTGAGAGAGCGCAAGGGGGCTCCATCCAACATGATGTTCTGGCTGTTCCTGAACTAAAAATGAGCTCCTGCTAATGTGTAGTATGCTCATTCAAGTTTTGCAATGGTGTTAGGAAATTAATAAGAGAAAATAAGCAAATAATTGACCTCTCCTCGACATTTAAACTATTAAAACAGCCAAAAACATATGTATTGATATTTCGGCCAACAGGCCTTCCTCAGAATGAATAATATAAACAAATGTACGAGAATATATATTCCCGACCGGGGCTGGGAAAATGCGTCTTATTCACCGGGGTTTTAGTGCGGAGGACCGAGTGCCAGAAGGCACGAGGTCCGTAGCAAAAAACCGAGGTGAATAAAACCTTGAATAAAACTGCATTTTCACAGCCCAATGGAAGGCAACATAAGGTTAGGCAGATCGTGACGTCACGGGGGCTTGGAATATTTTTTAAGTATCCAACTAGACAGTCCTAGTTCAAACTACAGATAAAGGAAAGCCTATTACACGTTTGAAGCATCTGATCTTATGAAAATAGCAGCCGGAAATTCACATTTATACGAATTAATTTGTCCAATTCAAATAATCAATGGCAACTTTACAACATGACATGTTATTTGCTCGCCAACTTGTATGCATTGAGCATAAACAATTGAACACTACTAATCGCCCGCACTCTGCCGCTAGAGACGGATGCGCGTCGCAGTCACAGCAGCCGCCGGACTCGACTTCAGCAGCCGCCATACTTGATGAGCCGGCACTCCTCTTATCGGCCAGCAGGTTGTCCCGCACTTGCCGGCCGCGGTGCCTCTCCGCTACCGTTGTAGGCGCCTCTTCTTGGTTCCCGGCGACAGCGCTGGGCGGCGCGGCAGCCTCCTTGGTCAGCAGCCGGGCGGCGCGGGCAGGGTCGTCGGCTGCCAGCCACTCGCCGTCGTCGCCATATTGGCAGCACAAATTGTGCAGGATGAAGCAGGCCCTGCAACAAAAGCGGATAACAATAGGTGGTATTGCTACAAATTATATGTAAGCGCACCAGAGCAGTAATTAATACCCGGCTGGGCAGAAGCCACGCATTCACGTTTGTATGTGCACTGGGCAGCCCTTAGCACACTGCAAATGTTTGTTTTCGGACAAAACCTTTCTCCCTCCCCTCTCTCTCTCTCTCTCTCTCCCTTTCTTTCTTTTCCTCTCCTCTCTCGTCTCTCGTCCCGCATCCGCTGTTTCACGTCTCAACGGGAAGACTGAATATTGTCACACAAATACCTTACAGTATGGTGTTGACGCTGTCCTCAACCTTGGTGTGCCGCAGCTCCTTGCAGTCGATGGCGGCCCATCGCATCTTTGCGATGCCGAACGCCTGCTCCACAAGTACACGTGTGGCCGCGTGCTGCTGGTTAAGCTGCGGCATCGAGACACAGTCCCTGGTCATGAAACTAACGTGAATTTTATTGAAGCAGATCCCTTGGAAGACCAACTCCCTTCCTAGACTGTGTTTGCGAAATCTCTGAGGCATCAGGTCAGACCGCTAACACTGACTTACCGCTCCTGCTCGGGCGTCGCGCTGTCGTAGGGTGTCACCAGCCATGGCAGGGATGGGTAGGCTGAATCGCCAAGCGGCAAGCACCACGCCGGCCCCGCGGGTGGCCTCTGTCGCACGGATCCTGAAAGGTCAAGACATGGGGACAGGTTGAAGTGCTGACTTTTAATAGCTCGAACAGGCTTTTGCACTTGTAGTGCAAAATATGCAAGCAAACAAAAAGTAATATTCGTCGGTGTTTGCCTATAAAAAAGTACTTAAGCATGACTTGCTAGAATATTTGCTACGCAACTGCGACTTGCGAGAGGAATTGACCACCCCAATGTTACACAAGCTTTTGATGTTGCTAACTCACAGTTCAGGTAGTCCAGATGTCTGCATGGCACGGGAGTCGTGTGTCCGGCCCGGAGCATGAACACTCACAAAAGTGAATGCTCGCCGGCATCCGGCAACTGCCACGTTCAGCGTAGTCGTGTGATGACGGCTCAGGTAGACGTCCTCCTCGGGCGCTGGAACCCGCACCCGGACGTGGGTTCCATCTATGCAGCCTGAAACGTAAAATGCGAGCCAATCACATGCAAAAGAATGAGACAGGCCCCCATCCCCAGTACGCGAAGGGGGTGGGGGATAATTCAAAATGTGCCATAGTTCTCTTATCTTTGTCCCCGGTCGGTGGTTTTAGCACAAGGGGCCCGCGGTCGGTCATATTGCACGCCTGGAGAAATCTACGCACACGCTCCGGTATAGGAACGGTAACTGAGCTGAGACCAGTTCTCGCTCAGCGCTCCGCGCACATACACAACACGCGGGTTGGGGGACGGCGCCGCCAAACTGCCAGTCAACGATTAGGGCGCCATCAATGGCGCAAACGGCAACTCTGGGTGACCCTGGTGGTCATTATAGAAGCCAGAGGGCCACGATGGTACCACTAGATGATGCGTAGTATTACGCAGATTCACATAAATTTACATTACTTTTTATGCAAGTAGGTAATGTTGAGCATGAAATCATATTCAATTGCGCTGGATTTACCTCACCAATGACATGGGCATTCCAGCGATGTCCTGGAAGCCGACGCACTGCTGCACCCTCTTGGCCTCAGTGTCCGGCCAAGTGATGGCGCCCACCAGCTGCCCTACAATATAGCCGGTCACCCTCCGCACGACTCGGCATACTGTCGCTTTGCTCGGCCCGTGCATGTCACCGAACGCGTGAAAGTTTTCTAGACTTAAGGGATCACTGCTGATTCTCCCCATTGCTCTCTCCCTCTCTCTCTCTCTCTTTGCGCATTACATACACGGCACGGTCGGCTCCGTGCCGTTATATTCGGGTGAACCGTCGGCCCTACATAGAGACGGCCTCAGGCCCCATTAGGGGGCGATCAACCGAGTTTGCGGCACAACAGACAGGGCATACACAACATAATAAAACAAACATTACATTGTACATCCTCACACATTCTTAGTGATTCTAAAGGTCATGTCGATGTCCGGCACACGCACGTCGTTGCCCTGCTGATTGGAACGCGATCACAAAGAAAAGGATCAATAGGTAGGACAATTTGAGCAGGAAGAAAAATCCAAAGAGCAAGATTGCTGTGATTTACACACTGTAATGGCCTCGTGCCACACGCGCTGGCGCTCGTAAGTAGCGTGCGCCTTGCGTTTACGCGATTCCCGCTTTGCGAGGGCTCATCTCGACGCCACCGGTTAACGGTTAACTCGCCCCATACGCACAAAGCTTCCCAACCTTGCAAATGTGGCGCGAGGGGGAACTTGTCAAGCACACGTCGGAACGACCGGATGACCCCAGTGGCTCCGCTGAGCTGGCCCGGCTCCTTTCCGTGGTAGATCGTAAATGCTCCTCGATGTCCCGGAACAGTTCCCACATCTGCGAGGGCAGCGTCAGAGTGTTAGCTCTTTCAGTTTGGTCCACAGGTTCCGCACCGGACCGTCCTCCGGGGCGGCGGTCAGCTCCCCGTCGGTGGGCGCTTTCCATGCCACGCAGTCAGCCACGTACGCCATGGTGCTCTCAGACGCCGGTTCGCCCGTACCCAGGTCCCGAGCACTGTCGTGTCCTAGTCGCGGCACGGAACCAGTAGCAGCTCTTTTGTTGATGGTACAGAGGAACGTCTGCATGTCATCTTCAGCGTCGGGCGTGGCACACTGCTGCAGGACGCCATCCAGCTCCGCTTCCATCTCGCAGCGGGTCTCCTCCTCCATGTCATTGAGCTGATCCTGCAGCTCTGGATCCCTCGAGTTCCGGTTGTGCCGACGATAGGCGTCACCAGGAGAGGGTTGACTCCGCGCCTCATCACAAGGAGGACCGTCAACAGGCGGTGGCGAGTTTCCACCTCCGTAGGGGTAGGGTTCATGTTGGAGCCGCCCCGTGACCTTACCATGGAGAAAAAGACTCCAGGCGGTCCTGGTTGGCGCAGCGAGTCAAGACTCAAGAACGAGTCAAGATTCAAGAGCTACAGCTGGCCTCTAGGTGCGACGCGAATAACTGCAAGCAGGCCACGAACCGAGGTGATGGTCACCAGCAGCGCCTCTTGAAAGGCATAGAAGTGCCTGGCGCTTCTGACGCGCATCACACGACACTCGTTCATGGCTGCCGACAGAGCCTCAACCTGCTGCGATGTCTTGGAGAAGACCTTGAAAGACAGAGTCAAGACATTCCACGTCAAATCAAACACCGAAATCCTTCATCCCCTTCGATTTTTTCTGAAAATTTGTAGGCAGACTGGGCATGGTTCAAAACGGAGTTACGTATAATGTTTGCGAAATTTGATAAAGTATCGCTGAGATATAGGTCAACGAATATAGCCAAAAATGCCACACATCAATTTTTTAAATGTCTATAACTCTGGTTCCTTTTCTGGTATCAAAATGATATTAACAGGGTCTTGTAGGCAATTGATAAGGTTTTGATTTTTAATTATAAAATTAAATTGAAGTGACTTTGAAATGCATTTGACCTTGAATTAAAACAAAAATTTAAATAGCAAAAAACACGTCACCTTCGATTCGGGTAATTTTCACATATTATGTCCGTCACAATGTTCCTAACCATCTGTGAAAAAAAAATGGAGTGGGCCATTCATAACTCTAGCGGCAAACGCCGTTTCATGCGCCAACATCACGCAACCGCGCGTGACCTTGAAAGACAGAGTCAAGATACACTCTGAAATGAATGATTGCTGATTAGTGATATCCCAAACTCTGCGAGAATGGAAATACATAGTCATCGTAGTCAAGCATTCAAGTTCCATAGTAAAAGTGTCTCAGGCAAACGGTATTTTGCGGTGAATTTTGAGTCGTATGGAAATGCATCATGAAGCCAAAAATTCAACGAAAACATTATCACGCAACGATATCTTCGTCTTTATCTTCACTATACGAAAGAATATATATTTTTGAGTATGTATAAGGAATTTCTAGGTAATTCAATAATAAATAGAGACCTGCTAAGAGTACGAGGGGCGTTCAAAAAGTTCCCGGCCCAACCATGAAGGAGTTGGAATTTCGGCCTGCAACGCGGTGTGTTCAATGATGTGTTATTGGAATGTCCACTGCCGTAGCCATTAACCAATCTGCCCTGTGATTGGTTCAGGCTGCTAATTAATCGTAACATAGTTTGCCATTCCCGGTCAGAATGGGCGACGCCCAGAAGAGAACAGTGATATGGTTCATGCATTGCAGAAAAATGCACTAAATGTTATTCACGAAAAGCTAGTGCCAACACATGTTGAGGTTTTTCTTTCTTACAGTAGCGTCAAAAAGTGGGCATCTCTGTTCAATTTTGGTCAACAGATCATTAATGGTCACCCCCGCAGTGGCCAGCCATCAACAGCATTGACTCAAGAAAATATAAAAAATAGGCACTTCTTTGTGTAAAATGACAAATGTTCTGGTCAGGAACAAAGCAGCAGAAGCGGAGGTGTCTATAAGGTTCCTCAAAGCCATTCTCCGACAGCGTATTAATATGTTTAAGATCTCTGCAAGATGCATCAATAAAAGAAGTTCACTGTCCGAACACGGTTGGTATGAAAACATCGATGCAGCAGCGTTCCGTTCTAGAAATGTCCGTTTTGTCAGGTGAACCAAAATCTGCTTCAAAACTAGTGGATGGCACTATTGCCATCGCTATCGGATCACTAACAGACATTTTGCTTGGGAATAACTTTTTACTGATGAGGCAATCAATAAAATAGTAGATAAAAGGTGTAAGAAAGAGTATCAATAAGGAATTTTTCGAGCAAGCTTTCAGCGCTGGGTGATTTGCTGGACAAGCGCGTGCGCCCGAACGGTGATCAGATGTAGGTGTGACTTTCGAAGTCTGGGGAGGCTGGCTGACAAGACCTGCCAACAAATGCTAATAGCCACTTTGTAGACGAAAGTTAAATGAACATTTGGTGTTTGTTTTATGTCGTTACAGCATAGGTGAACTGAAATACATGTGATTTTACCTTACTTATTGAACGGCCTAGTATATGTAGTGCCGCTATTTTGACTTCCTTTTTGCTCCTGTGACGTCATATTTGACCTGACTTGAAAATGACCTCAGTAAAAATTATAGACCTTATCCGTGTGTACCCTGTACCGTTTACCGCTTGTCGCTATCTTGCTTTATTCTCGAGATCTCGCTGTCGCTCCCGCTCGTAACAGGACAGGTCATAGGAATCAGGTCATAAAAATGACCTGACCTGAGGTCAACACAGGGCGATAACCACTTTTTTATTATCGCATTTGAATGACAATTGATAAGGCTTTCATCGTCATCAGACAAAATTGCAACTTTCAGTGGGGAAAATATCAAGGTCACTTCGAAAAATAGGTCAAAAGGTCACGTGACCAAAATTTTCAAAAATTGAAAATCCGAGATAGCCAAAATGTTTGTTGGTTGATTGTGAGTTGAACCATATCAAGTTTTTATCGTAGAAAACCAATAGTTTCTGGGAATTGCCCGAGGCTATATCTCGGAAACCGTTGTTCGAATAAAAAAATCCTTGCCACAGCTGGCTTCCCCGCCCATCACAACCCATTAGACCAATTTTAAGCAAAAAATAAAATATGAGGGTACAGGGCACTTGTCGATTTGTCGTGGATTATATAAGCACGAACGTAAGTAACCGAAATCAAGTTTGTCTATCCGTTATACTAGATGGAAGTGCGCTCGGGAGCGCAGCAACCCGATAGCTGTGATCATTAGACAAAAAACAATTATTTGACCTGTTACTGCTGATTGTAATTTGTCATTCATAATTGTATGTTGTCTTGCAGCGCTGAGGTCGCGGCGCCGCCGCGACCAGGACTTTGCTGCGGCGCGGGAGCGGCGAGATCGTCTTCTAATGCCGCCGCCGCCGCCGCCGCCGCCGCTCATCGTTGAGGTCTGTAACCTCTTATTGGTATCGTTTTATAACATGTTTCTTGCTATGATTTACGCGACCGAAATAATTTCATTCAATGCAAATTATATAAGCACAAAGCTAAATAGATAGGTATTGCTGTAATTGTGTTTTGCAGCCTTAGCGCCCGCTAATGAATATTGGTTAGGTTATCTAATGAGACTTTTCCGAATGTTTTTGAACTTAACCGTTAAAATTGCTGAATATAGTTTACCTTGTATGTATCATAAGTTTTTCATGACACATTGTGCTGCTGCCCCTGCCGCTGGTTATTCTGCCCTTGACTCCGCAGCGGGCTAACGTCCTGTTATCTGTTGTGCCTGCAGGCGGACGATGAGGAAATGTTGCGGGCGCTGGTGGCGGCGCGCGACTACATGCGTTTCCAGAGGCGCCAACACATGTAAACAAAAAATGAAATAAAAAAAAACAAAAAAAAGCAGAGACGGATATTTTACCGTTAGCAATACAAACTGGTTGATTTTTTTCCAAAAAAAAAAGAGAAAATAAAAAAACAAAAAACAATGGGGGGCGTATGCCTAATGATAAGGTATACAGCCAGCAATCGGGTCCAGGCCAGCCTACATCATTGGATGCAGGTCACTTGTGGCGTCCAAGCC